ATAGAAAGATATAAAGCTCGATTAGTTGTCAAATGGTACAGTAAGAGAGAGGGTATTGATTATGAAGAAACATTCTCTCCTATTGTGAAAATGGTCACTGTTAGGTGTATTGTAGCTTTTGTTGTTCAATACAATTGGTCTTTGTTTCAACTGGATGTTAATAATGCTTTCTTGTATGGTGATTTATCTGAAGATGAAGGCTATTTTAGTTTGACAATGTTTGTAAACTAGTAGTCTCTTTACGGTTTAAAGCAAGCACCCCGTCAATGGTATGCAAAATTGTCATCTTGCCTTGTTGCTAATGGTTTTACTCAAAGTGTAAGTGACTATTCTCTTTTTACCAAATATGGTGAATATGGATTTGTTATACTTTCGGTATATGTTGATGATATTGTTTTAACTGGGGATAATTTGTTAGAAATAAATAAAGTCAAAACTTATTTGAAAAGTAATTTTTTGATTAAGGATCTTGGCAAGCTAACTTTTTCCTAGGAATTGAAGTTCTTGATTTTGATAGTGGTATATGTATGTCTCAAAGAAAATATTGCTTAAAATTACTAAATGACTTTGGATATCTTGTGTGCAAACATGTTAGCACTCCTATGGATATGAATCTTACTGTTACTGATTGTGTTGGAACCGTTTCTAATGATCCTCCTTTACATGATTATACTAGATATCAAAAGTTAATTGGTAGGTTAATCTATCTTCTTGCAACTAGACCTGCCATAGCTTTTGCAATTCATTGTTTAAGTCAATATATGCATTCACCTCGTCAATCCCATCTTAAGTTGACATTAAGGATTCTCATATACTTGAAGCCTTCACCAAGAAAAGGTGTTAGTTTTACAAGGTCGGAATTTTTTCACTTATCTGCTTTTGTTGAAGTTGACTGGGGTAAACGTCTTTCTTCTAGACGATCTATTACTGGTTACTGTTTGTTTCTTGGAAATTCTATGGTTTCCTGGAAAAGTAAGAAACATAATACAGTTTCTCGTTCTTCTGCAGAGTCAGAATATAGAGGGATGGCTTCTACAACTTGTGAATAATTTGAGTTCTTAAAATTTTAACAGATTTGAGAATTAAAGATTTACTTCCTATAAATCTATATTGTGACAACATATCTGCAATAGAAATTGTTTATAATCTTGTTTTTCATGAACGCACGAAACATATAGAAATTGATATCCATCAAGTTCGAGAAAAGGTTAGTTCATGTGTGTTAAAAATTGGAAAAATCATTTCTACTAGCAACCTGTTGATATTTTCACGAAGTCTCTTAGTATAAATCAACATAATTACTTATGTTTAAAATTGAAGTTGATTGACTTGTTTATATGTGAAGATTAAAGGGGGATGTTAAATACATCTTTATTATTATTCATTCTTGTCATTCATGGACTTTGGTGTTATATTCTAGGTTGTTGGTTTAAAAGGACTGATTCTGTAAAGGTGCAAATCAAGGAGGGTGGTTTGAAGCTGTCAAGTTTCTAGAAGGCTAGCAGAGCATTTGTGGATAAACTTGAAAGGTCAATCTGAAACTTCTTGAAATATATACACACACACCCTTTCGTGTGCCTCTTCGAAGCTCAGATCGATGCATTCATTTTCTACAATTTTGAGAGTTTCTCTATCTTCCTTGAGAGATTTTTAGGGTTTCATTAGAGTTCCATTCAATTTCAGTTTCTTGTATTTGAGATTGAGTGTTTGTACACACTTCTATTTGTATTGATTTGGTTTAAGGGTCCGTTTGATTTGCATGATTGTTTTTGAGAGATTTAGATTTTATGAAAGGATTTAGATTGGAATGATTTGAAAATTATTAATGTGTCTGGTTTGTAGGATTTTGGAATGGAATTGGATTTCATTATTTATAAAAAAATTATAAAAAATAATAAAAATAATTAAATTACATTTTTACTAATTGATTATTACAAACAAATCTAAAGCCTTATTTCATACAATCCTACAAAATCCTGAGCATCCTCTAACGATTTCAAAATCCTATGATTGTAAGATTTTAATTAAATCTTAAGATTTCAAATCCGGACAAACCAACAAACCAAACATGAGATTGAAATGGATATGAAGTCCAAATTCTCTCAAATTCATTCCATTCAAAATCATCATTTTACGGTCTGAAATAAACTTTTCATAATCTAAGGATCTCGTTGATCTGATGACTTGTTAATATTGACATGGTCCAAATAAATATCAACTAAACTTCTATATCATTTTTAAATTTAAAAGAATAAAATAATAGTTCTGTAACTAATACATATTCATTTTACCAGTTATTAATTCAAACTGTTAAATATACTAAAAAGGTTTGTTTCAAACTCTAGAATAATAGATCTATATTATATTATAAAATATTTGACAAAAACTCTTAAAAATCATTTTTTATGCATGAAGTACTGCATATTGATGCATATTATTTAAAATTCAAGATTACAAGTAAATTATGCATAAAATACAACTTATTAAACCTCCATGTTTAAATTCGTATAACTAACTGTATATAAACATAATCAAATAGAAGATATACATCTCATTTTAAAATATAAAAAAATCTAAAATATAATTAAAATAATTATCGAGTTCTAACAAAATAATTAATTATTATTTTTATAA